GCTGGGATTGCCTGCTAAGATTTCCTACTAAATAAGCTACCATGATCTGTACAGGCTTCCCACCCCTGTATTGGTCCAATTTCAACCAACTTGTTTGACTTGCCTGAGTAAGAACAACACAAAGTATTTTCTTCTCCACAGCCTTGGGAAAAAGACAACATTGCAATGAGAATGTTGCCCTGCCATCCTGCTTGCTTGGGCCCACCGGGGAGGTCCTGCTTTGTAAGGCCTCTGGAGCACTGCCAATGTGGGCAGTGGGCACAGTGGCGGGGGTCGATCTCAGCTGCACTGGGACTTGCTGCATTAGGACTAGAGGCCTCGGCAGCTTCAGAATACCATCAATAGATTCACCCCTCCAAAGCTTCATGTCCATTTTCAGATTACTATAGCAACAAACCCATGCAAGAAAAGATTCTCAGAGGGAGCACAGTAAAACCAATGGATCGGAGTCAAAGAGAAATAAAACCCTGCGGAGCATGGCTGGATAAGAAGCAACCAAGAGTGGAAGGCATGCTTCCATCTACTTTCGTCCTAAATGGGCTCAGTGACTGAAGTGTAACAAGCAGTTAGTGAGCAAAGGTCATTTCATTTTGTAACTGCGACAAAACCAGGGATGTACTGTCTTCATATCTAAAGATTTCAGAGCACGTTAGAGACTTGGACACGCAACAATTAGCAAACAAACCTCTGATGGTGGTTCTGCCGCTTTGCAGAGATGAAGTCACCCAACGGAGGGATAGGATGACTTATCCAAAGTCAGACAACCAGTAAGCATCACTGGCAGGCCAGGAAGACTGCCTGCATTTACCAACTTGCAGTCCTGGGGCTAAGCCACAAACTCAAATTCATGTTCTTTGCACTGAAATAGGCTGCTCACATTCCACCAGGGTTATGACTAAACAAGTGTCTCATTCCTCAGCAGTAAATTCAAGCTCACCCACTCCCTGCAGTTCAACTTCTGACGCACCTGTGTAGACACACAGATAGGATACAGCTTGCCAAACCAAAGACAGACCAAAAAACCCAGAACAATTTACATTAATTCCAAAATACTTACAGCAACTTGACTAGCTTAAGGCACACAGAGGGATGCGGGACCCCACCTCACATGGTCATCCCAAATCTCTTTTTCTTGCTTGAAGCCTGGAAGTTACCACACACAGCCAGTTCACAGCACAAAGAAACCCTGACCAAGGCTTTTCTCTTGAATGTCTAGGTTGAGGTGTTTTAGTGGCTTTATTCTCAAAAGGGCTGAGCAGCCAACTGCTTTGAGTGCTTCAGTATGGCCTAAGTCCATTAAAACAGTTCAGAAAGATAATCTCAGCGCTATTATGGCAATTTTCACAGCTTCAATCTGTGGGCACAGCAAGATGAATCTGCATTAAAAACAAGTATTAGCACTTTCTGGGAATCTTAACTCTACAGAAGCCCTAAACCTAGGACATGCTTCTTTGTTCTTAGAGGAGCATCTAACCCCTGCAGCTGAGCAGCACACCTCCAGATGGTCGGCATCGCCCTGCATTGTAACTGTCCTCTCTCTTTTCAACCAAGGCTAACAACTCATGGCACACGGCAGATTCAGCCTTTTTTTCTCAGAAACAAACGCAAATTAAAAGATTTGTTTTACTCCCTCCCCTGCCAGGTCTTGTAACATAGAGGAGGGCAGAAAGATTTGATGATCTGGTTCCACTGGTAACACTGGATAGATGAGTTATTTTTTAAAGAACAGCCAGAAGAGGAAACAGCTGAAACCACGAATTTCGGGCTGCCACCCCACCCCAGCAGGAACTTCCAAACTGCCTGTCACAAGACATCAGCATTATGTTCACTTTCTTTTCTATGTGAGTTTCTTACCTTGCCTCTCTTCACCCTATTTTCACTTCATATGATCTCTAGCTACAGCTGTGGAGAAAAAGTTTGTGACATTAGTCTGACAATGTGTTATGAAGACTACATTGCGCTGTGGTCATTCAGCATTTCTTCCATAACAAGTTCTGTCAGCTTTGCTGCCCTAACAGTCATGTCTCCTCTGCTCTGGAGGGTTCCTGTCCTCAGTGGATGTGGTTTTGAGGAAGGACAATGAGCAAGGAGAAATTCCCAGTTGAGAAAAACACCAGCAGGCAATTATGTTTGCTCCAAACCCCACATAGGTACCAACATGGGTAGCTGTTCTAGGCTCCAGAACAGCACTCCAGTCTTAGAAAGTAAACTGTCAGTTAAGACCTACAACCTTAAGTTTCAAATCTCTCAAGACTTGCCCATTTTAATAATCATCATTACAGTTACTGCTTCTACCAAATATTCTGCATCACCTGGCCTTTACTACTGTTGGTGACTGGGAGCTTACTTGAATGCAGTATAAATATTAAAAAAAAAAAGGAAGGCATTAATTCTTACAGCTCCACTCTGAAATTTGTAAATAATGTCATCACTGTTGTGTGGTACATGAGGAAGATAAGGCAGATGCATAAGATGACTTAAGTCACACAGCACTAGCCTTACCCTCATGCTAATCTCTAGGGTAGATCTTGGTTCTGCTGAAATCAGGTGGAAAAAAATCACCATGAAAACTAGTCCTGACCAAACACTTTACATCACAAATAGAATGGAAGATACAAAAGTCCATGAATATAACTAGCTTTCGTGGGGGAATTTTACCTTTTGCTACACTCCACAAGCAGAAATGCTAAAGCAGCAAGGCCCTTGGAACCAGTGTGGAGTCAGAAGTGCAGTCGAGCAGAAAAACATTTGCTTCTTCACGGGTAGGTTGGAGACTGCACCACCAAAATCAAACTTTGTTCCTGAAGAAGTTCAAACCAAGGTGAGCAAGCAACATTCCTTGCAAGTTTTAGAATAAAAACTCCTTCACTTAGCTCCAGATCAGGTACCACGGGGCAGAGGAATGTCCATTGCTGAGACGACAAGCTCTTATCATTTTAGGCCAGGCACTTTGCTAATCCACATGGAGTTCTACAATCCTGATCAGTAACTTTACACTGCACACCCGAAGTTCGGAAGCCTAACTCTTACACTTGCTGCTTCTGGTGCAACCCAAAGCATGGTACAAAAGGTTACAGCAGATTTACTAGGAGTGCTGCTGGGCAGGCAGAAACACACCCAAAGTGAATGAACATTTTCAGAATGTTAGAGCCAGAAATACTTAGTTTTTTGAAAAAGTTTTTCTTCTAGAGCCAAGAGCAGAAAACACAAATGTCTTCACCTCTGCCTGCACCGCCATCTCTTGGAATGGAAACAAAACTGGAAACCTGCTGACACAGAATCCCGCAGCACTGTGCAAAGGATAAAGCAGCCATTTCTGGAGCAGCTCACTTGGGGTATGGCAGTCATCCGGAAAGAACTATTTAACCCTAGTCTCAAAAGTGACCTTTTCAGGTCAGAAGGCTGCAGCTATGCCTCCCTGCTAAGTTGCACAGAGATCTTTCTGTAGATGTAGATTTTCCATCCACCCCCATCCCTAGGAAAGCAGCTGGTTCCGATTTTTATTCCTTAGCTTGGATTTAAAAGAACAAAGAAAACCCTTTTTGAATTGCATAAACATACAAAATGTAATTTAACTTGGCACTGTAGTATTTAAGCCCAGCATGCAATGAAACAGCCAAGGTCTCTCTGTCCTCAGTGTGTTTAGAAAAACTGAACTCCAAGCATCCATTTGTTTGAGTAACCAAACCAGATGTGCAGTAATGAACTAGCTGGCTTATTCTGGAAGTACTGTCTTGGTCACTTGGCTTTGTGTCAGCACCAAGACTAGGATATTAAATTGCAATGTTCAAGCCCCATAAAATAGGGTTGACTATTACAACACACGAGCTAGTACATTCTGATACAATAATGACACAAGTCATAATCCATCCAAGTGATGGTCTGTCCAAACACTTGTTTTAGGCAAAACTATGGATATTGCTCAACAATGTCCTATTCCAGTTACTGACTGAAGCAAAACATGAACTTCCATAGCTCTCATGCAAGCTTGTTTGTTGCAGTGCCTTCCAAAATTTTGCTCATGAGAACAGCAGCAGATATTGGTGGCAAAACTGGGGCACCTAACTTTGTCTAGGCTAGTAATATTTTCAGTAACAATAGTTCCTGGTGATCATTCTTTCTGAGAATAAAGAAGGTGTAAGATTACTGAGCAGGGGCAGGAGAAATTCGTTCCACGAGGGAGGTATCTCCCTGACAGATCCAGAGCATTTTGCTTTGCTCATCACCAGCAGTGATGGGTGGACATCCACTGTTAAATTCATATACTGCTCAATTAGAACAGATTGTGGAGGAAAAAAAGCTACATTTAGTTACCGTATAAAACCTGCAGTCGTCTGTAAGAACTTGAAAAGCATCCAGGTGTCCCCACTGAACACAGACTTTAGCTCTTAATATCACCGTTAAGTAAAACTGGTTGATAAAATATTATTCATGGTGTTGTACTGAGGTGCTGAAGTAAGTGCCTTAGATTTTGAAGGGTCTTTGTGTAGCTGAAAGTGCAAGCAGTCTTCAAGGGGGTCTACTTTGTGTCACTCGGTAAAAAAACAACTGAAAGCTCTGTACCACTGGAGTTCAGCATTTGGAATTCAAGTCGAGTTAGAACTGCATTTCTTTCTGGAAGGACAAGTTAGCACAACTGGAAAAAAAAGTTACTTTCATTGGATGAAAGCCAAGGGCAGGCACTGTCCAGTTCAAACTCTATGCCTGCTGAAGTAAGTGTCCTTGTAGAAGAAACACCATTTTGCTTTTGCTCAACAGTGCAGCTGACAGAAGTACCCTCACAGCCAGATTTTGAAATTAAAAACAGTTCCAGAACACGTAGACAATTAATAGTCCTCCACCTTAGCTACTGGGAACGAGGACTGAGACCAGATAAACTTGTTTTCCTTGTGATCACCAGCTCTATAAGAAGCCTGGCAGCTTGTTAGCATTAGTCAGTGAAAAGATTTATTCTCTGTTTGGTTCTTCTACAGCATAAAGCCTGGAGAGGTTGAGCCAGAATGTCTTCTGAAGGCTTTCTGAAGGAAATGCAAACCATTGGTGAGAAGTTTCTTGTTAAGCTCCAGAAACTGCCCAAGGCTGAACCAGTGGAGATTGTGTCCTTTTGTGTGGTTCTTCTGTTTATTGGTGAGTTTATCGGTGGAGGCAAAGGGGTGTCAGAATGTCTTGTCTCTTCTCTTCTGTGGGGGCAGCTTGCTCCACAATCTTTGTTGGTGGGTTGGTGATGATGCCAGTTGTTTTCCAGGCTGTGCTCTGAGGCCCAGTTTAATTTGTAGGTAACTTTTTAATACTCGGTGTGTATCTCTACGTGCATGCAGAGCACGATAGGCAACAGTATAGCTTTCCCCTACGCTTCCCCTAAGCTCTCATATTTAAGCAGCAGTATTTTAACCAACCCAGAGCTGCTGCAACGTGTTGATGCATAGGAGATAGTTTATGACAAATAGTATTAAGGCATCTCACTGCCGCAGATGACACTTAAAAGTCTGAGACTCTTGAGTGTCATTCCTGTGCTTAGTTCAGTGGAAGCCAGTATGCTTCAGATGAGCCTATTTATTCTCCTCTGGTAATGGCAAGATCCCTCCCGCTGCTCTGTGTGGGGATGGCATGGAAGGAATAACAAAGAGTTGCTTGATCAAGTTGCTTGATGAAGTTTGTTTAGAAACTGGGAAAACAAGCAGGAAGGAAGGCGGGCCCTCCCCCTCAAAAGAGGTACACTTTGCTCCCAGCTGTGTGGAAGGGTGTGTATCCAGCCCGGACACTCCTCCCCGGGCTGGAATTCAGAAAGACACACCTGCTGCCTTATTTTTTTCATACCTACAGCTGGTTCCCTGCAGGTCCAGTAACCTGGCAGCCCAGCTCCAGAATTTTAAGGAACACATGCACACACATGTGCACGTTCACGCACTCTTATGTGTCTTGCAGGTTTAAACATGTCATTCTTTTCTATTCCAGATAAACATAACACCAACCATTATGCCTAGTGTAGAATAACAGTAAGTTAGCCCACTGCCTTGTGAAACAAAATCCTGTGTTTGAAGTAGCTAATTTTTCAAGCTAAATACAGAAAAGTAAAGCCAACCCAGTCATCAATATCTGTCCTCATTAAAGGGTACACTGCATGCACTCTTAAGAAGTGCAACTGCCAGTTTGACTAACCAAGTGGTCTTGAGTTACTGCTGACACAACTACAGGGAGAGTTGGATCCCCATCCTTTCCACGCACACAGCTCTACTTAGTTGCTGCATGTCATCTCCACAACAACAGCCCGTTCGGCAGGTAAAAATATGCCCCCACATGGTTTGGTACATAGCTCTTAAGATCATGAAATATCCAGTAATGATTGTCCAGATTCAGTGGATTACTAATACAAGGGAGCAGGAACTTAGGAGAAAGCTGCCTTTTTTCGTTCTGCTGCTCACCAAACAACTTGGAGAAGACATGCGGTTGCTCTCCAGTGATTGCTCCTACATCATGAAGCAATATCCTTTTCTTCTCTTTCCAGTTACTGTTCTGGTGCTCATGATCATTGCCTGCAGTTGCTGCTGCTATAGCTGCTGTAGCTGTGACGGACGTCCTGACCACAGACGTAGGAAGATCCAAGTCCGCCCAATTGCGCATTCATGAAGCACAACAAGAGGTGACAACCTACTATCAATGACACACATGGACATCATGATTCAGTCCTATGGGAATGACTTTCTACACTAGCTCACTGAAAACGGCAATGACAATATTAATTAATATGACTCAGAGGACAAGAAATCACAGCATGGAATTCCTTCTTTCTGTGACAGCCCCTGCTGGGCTCCGTGGTGTGACCAGAAAGGTAACCCTACTTTACCATCGCCATCTCCCTCTTCTGGGGTGGGGGTGCATGGACACATGCTGCTGAGAAAACACACACGCTCTCCCAGTGACAGCCTTGCAGCTGGGCCAGCCAAAGACTCCCTTTGTGAGCATGGGGCCACATCCTAAAGCAGAGAACACCTACACTGCCACATGCTAGGCAGCACCCACTCTCTTCCCATGTGGTTAATCCAGAAGGATGGTCCTGGGTGCTAGCAAAACCCACTGACATCACCGAGAGGTCCACGTGCCCAGTACATCTTGGATCAAGCCCAAACCTGCTCTCTTAAAAGCCACCTGCCACAGACACGTTCAGCTGAGATGTCTCCTGAAAACAAATCGTGGGCCTTCTGATCCAGACGTGACAGCGGAGGCTCTGAGGAGAGCTGGTAACAAATGCTCCCTGCTTTATTTCACTGGTGTTACACTAATGTCAAATTGCCAAAGAGAAAAATCAGACCATGTGCAATACCTTTTGTAGACAGAAAGATGAAGGCAAAACAAAAAACTCACCAATGCTATGGCTAAATTTGATCATTCTGCTGCTAAACATGCTCACTCCCCACCCCCCGTGCGGTTCTGCTCTTCTCCTTATTGCACGTGAACGGCTCTTACAGCGCAAAGGAGTTACAGGAGACGAACAAATCCCTGTCCTTACTTGAGGGACCTGTGTGCCTGACTCCCTGCACTGTGTGCAGTTTATTTTAGTGGACATAAACATTATGCCTAAGGTATGTTTATTAGCATACACAAAGGCATTTCAGAGGAGTGACATACAGTATGGTAACTGTCACTTCAGAGTATGCATGCAGCCGCTGACAGTGGGCACTGTGACAAAGCAGAGCCAAGAACGGGCTGTATGGCTGAAGTTAACAAGTGTAAATAAATCCCTTTTCCATGCTGCAGCCACTGTGTACGTTTGCTTTGCACGCCGGTGAACTTCAGAAAGGGATTTATGTAAGTGCAAGGCTACGGCGCAGGCCATGACTTTTGTAACAGGGACAGCCAAACGGAAGACCATCACACTGCACCTAACTGTAAGCCACAGGTCTTTCTTTCAGCCCCAAATGCGAAATCAACCACCCTTATGAGAAGGTATAAAAAGTTACCTGCATATAGATAAGTCATCTTCTACCTTCATATTCCAACTGCTAAGTGTAGAGCAGTTAAAGAGATTACACATGTATATACCAGAGCCAACATCTAGCTAGAGGGAAAAGAATCATCAAGTATGTTACAGTGGGCTTTTAAATATTCTTCACACTTCAGAAAGGGAGAAAAAAAAAAAAAGCTTTGTAAAGAAGCCTCTTTTCTCTGATGCCTGCACCCAAATTAGTAAAAAGCACATTATATCAGTAGCTTCACATGTATTTAATGCACTTTAATTTTTGAGAAGAAACTAGTTTTATATATTTTGCATTTTTGTACAGTTGCACATTGGAATATATCTGTAGCCAGCAACGCAAAAGGCAGTCTAAAAATTAAGACAAAAAATCCTCAAACTACCAGTGTTACTTTTAAATTAATAAAAAGGAAAACTTTCCAGCAGAAGATGAGGATGTTCCTTAGAAACTAAACATTTGAGCCCCAACTTGACAGTTGCCAACAGGAGACTGCACTAGTGTGAGCTACTGCATGCACAGTTACACTAAGCCTAACGAAGCACTGGCCTTTATTACGCTGTCCCAAAGCTTTCAATCCCAACCAATATGCTAGGGTAGGATAAGCTCAAGCGTGGCATCCATTTACTCAAATCAACAGTCAGAGATGCGTCGCACGAACCTCTCTGTCAGCTATGTCTTTGCTCATTTCACTGACAGACAATCAAGTTGACATAGGAAGTCTCAGAACCTGTTTTGCAGGGGACAGACTCAGCAGATGTTTCTGTATCTAAGTCACGGGACCTGTGAAAGAACAGAGCTTACTTTCTTTCCTAGCCTGTGCTAGACGGTGCCAGCTACAGGAATGAACAGAATCCCATTGAGAAATGTTTTAGCAGCACGGAACCAGTCTGTGCTAACAGTCAGGAGGAAGCTGCAGCGGGCTGGAAACATACCAACAGCTGACAGGTTGCTGTCACTGGGATCAAGCTGCCAGGCCTTATCTCAACAGGAAAAGCTACAAATACATGTTTCCCAGTGGTGTTCCAAGTTAAACCACTGACAGATACCAGGCAGGGGCACAAGAGAAATGGCTCCTGTGTTATCTCTGCTACTGTAAGTTCCTAAATTAGAAGCAGAGAATAAACACAGCACTGTTATAAGAGAAGGAGAGAAAATTAACCAGTTGTCTAAAGAATTCAGGTGGTTTTCTGGAGTAGAGGAGCAGCCACCACGTAGAGGAGGCATCCCTGGACCATTTTCTACACACTTGCCTGGACCTCACAGGCCTAATGTTCTGCTTTCTACTGTTTTGTACTGTTCTACTCAGCTGGACTATTCCTATACTTAGGATTTAGATATGCCAATTGCTCGCTTGGGCTGGGTGGGGTCTGCTGCATTCTTGCATGCAGCAGATCTGGTTGGCCTGAAAGATGCCCAGCAAATCCCCAGCTTACTGCAGCTCTTCAGTTTCTGTTGACTAGAAACATGCCAGTCTTTGGGTCCCTGCTCACCACTCACAGAAGCTTTTGTGGTTTTGGTTTCAACCATTACCCACATAAAGGGATCTGGAGCGCCCTGAGCACTGGTGAGGATGGATCCTCTCTGTTTCAAAAAGCAGAGGGAGATTCAGAAGAGGACAGACTGATTCAAACACAGCAACTTCTGTACACGTTGTGAAAGTCTGAGTGAGCCTAGAAGGAACTGCAAGGAAATACAGTTACTTCAGTCCTGATGTAACAAGTGTTGAAATGGTTTATTTCCCTGAGGAACCTAAAAGAGGCAGTGAGGCCAACCGCTCCAGCAGAAGTGGTTGAAGTTTTATTGACAACTTAATGGAATAGCTTCTATTCTGTCACATCATCCCTCTGGTTTCAAAGTGGTTTGCCTGGCTTGCGAAAAACAAGTTTCCTTTTACACATGCAGCCTCACACACCACAGTCTCCTCCTCCTCCTCCCCTCCCACCTCTCTCCAGCACCATCCCTCTGGTCTTCTTCAGTTAGGAAAGCAACAGGGAGTCTATTTTATTGCAGCTAACAGCAGCGCAAGGCTCTGTAATGAGTTTATCCATCTGAACTGTCACAATGAAGTTTGGACTGGAGGGCAGTCTTGTTCAGAGTCTTATCTAAGACATGGCAGCCTCCTAATGGAGCTTACAATACAGGTCAGGGAAACAAAGCCCTCTTCTCTCCACCACAACCAGCTGCCTTCCCCAGTCAGAGGACATAGTAGGCCTTTACAAGCACCGGAACAGGTGCATGAGTGGATAAAGCCATGCAGAAGAAATATCTGAACAGTTGAACCAGGTCTTTTCAACTAGACTCAAGGCCTTTGATTAGATTAGCCACACCTTTGCAGGAAAGTCAGCTGTTAATCATTTACTGTAGTACAAACAGGCAACTTCCATACTAGCTCTACAGGTCTCCAGGTGCAGTAAGGGGGTCCGTCACCACAGGGCAAGATCTCTTGGAGTGGATGCAGAGGAGGCACCAGAAGAAACGCCTACTACAAACACAGCAGCTTCAGGTATTTATAAAAATCACATACAGCTCTTCTATTTCAGAGATCTGATCAATGGAGAACTACTGGAGAGAGTCCAGTGGAGGGCTACGAGGATGAGGAGGGGACTGGAGCATCTCTCCTTTGAAGAGAGGCTGAGGGAGCTGGGCTTGTTTAGCCTGAAGAAGAGAAGGCTGTGAGGGGACCTTATAAATGCTTATAAATATCTGGAGGGTGGGTGTCAGGAGGATGGGACCAGACTCTTTTCAGTGGTGCCCAGGGACAGGACAAGGGGCACAAACTGAAGCAGAGGAAGTTCCATCTGAACATGAGGAAGAACTTCTTTACCTTGAGAGTGACAGAGCACTAGAACAGGCTGCCCAGAGGGGCTGTGGATTCTCCTTCTCTGGAGATATTCCAGACCCACCTGGACAAGGTCCTGTGCAGCCTGCTCTAGGTGACCCTGCTTCAGCAGGGGGGGCTGGACTGGATGATCCCCAGAGGTCCCTTCCAACCCCCACAACTCTGTGATTCTGCGATTAACTGTGGCTAGCAAAAGAGACAGGAACTTCTCGGGGGTACAGTGACACAGGGTTTCTGCCTTTGGGTCTACGTAGATACTGCCCAGTATCTAGGCTGCCTGCTTTTTAAAGGCAAAGGAAGCTACCCAGAACAGCACTGATGTCCTGTATGCCTGTTCGTTAGAGACTGGGCATGGTCACCTGCCATCATTCCAGGAAGCAAAGCATGAACTGAATATATTTGGCTGATGAGAAAGAAACCAAAACTTTAGCAAACTGAAGTGTGAGCTTGTGTTCCTAGTCAAATGTGACTTGCTGCGGATGAAACACGCTTCACGTGACTAATCTGCTTCCTTACAGTATTAAGGATGCAGACATAAGGGGCAGCAAGTCCAAAAAATTTTCAAAAATAACAAAGATCTCTTCCTGTAATATGTCTGCACAGTCATATTTGAGTGAAAGTGTGAGAAATAATCCATCCTTTCCCTTGAGAGGCAAGAAAGCTTTAGTAAAACCACAAGATACTTGCAGAGAGATGCTGGATGTTCTTTAGAAAGCTGACAGCCAAGTCATTATGCAAAGTATCAGTAAAAGAGCATGTGTGTAGAACCCCCTGAGATCCCAGTTTAAATTATTGCTGAATGTAAGTACTTCACGGGAAGAAAACTTATGCTTCTATTGCAGAGTAACTGAAAGCATTACTAAAGCAAACTCATTTAACAGGAGACTTTTTTTTTTTACGTAACTACTCTAAGCCCTATGAGAGCGACAAGTTGTACATGAAGATCGTTGCTTATTGTTGGTGGGATGTTTTGGTTGGAATTTGTTTGGTTTTAAATGTGTTCATTTAATCTCCAGTGTGTTTCCAGAGTGTAGGGGCCCAACTTCTTTTTACAGTTCTTTCCAATGGTATCAGTTGAGTTCTCCCATTGAATACTTGTCTTTCATGTCTAGGCTGTACAATTGACAGAGATGAAGGGTTCATACTGAACGTGCTGGGGGAGACACTATATTATATTATTAAAAATATTGATAAACTCTGATTAAAATAAATCTCAACTGCCAAAATCTTGTAAAGCTCAAAGCTTTCTTTACATCTCTGTAGATCTGGCTGTGAGACTGGCCTCAGTTACCTTTCTTCTGGGTTATGCTCCCATTTCTGTGAAGGATGACTCTCCCTTTTGGAAGAGGGATGCCTGCAGGCACAGAGAGCATGCATGCCTATACTGGTTTTGGGACTGTGGCTCAGAGCACAGAGAGGATACACGAACATCTGATATTGTTGTTGTCTACCTCCAGCAGGGTGGAAGCCAGCATGTCATCAGTACAAGAGGCATCCTCAGTTCTGGAAGACCTAAAGAGACTGATTACAAGAAGTGACTGGGCTCTTGGAGGCCTAGTGGTGATTAGCACCTTCTGTCTTGTTTTTGTTGCTCTCCTCTTATTTGCTGCCATCTTTGGGTGCTGCTCATCTCCAAGGCACCGACAGAGTGGTGCATAAACAGCAACGCTGAGATGCAGTACTTGGAGCCCTGCAGCTAAGCAAGGATCAGCCCAGCTACATGATGATTGTGTTGCTCACAGAAAGATCTCTCATATTCTCTCCCTGGGTGGCGATTTCTCCCCCTGCAACTTTTCTGCATCAAGAGCAATGCACCAACACCAGCAAATTGTTCTGCAAGTCCACAGCAAACTCAATACATAATGCTATCTGTATTCAGGAGCTTCATGACTAGCCAAATACCAAAGTCAACTCATCTCTGCCCAATTTTTATCTTTTAAGCAAAACCAATGGTTAGAGGTGGCAAATGGTCAGCCACCACCTAAAACTGATAAAGGTGTCTTCCGCTGCTGCAGTTACATGGTAGATTTTTTTCCATCTTGCAAATGGGCAATAAGCAACTCTGAACAGAAAAAGCTTTGTCTAAACCCACTCTCTAAAAGCAGCTTATACCATTGTTCTCCTGTCATACTCGGACAATAGCCTAAATATACTATGCAAAAACTTGCTTGCCAGTATACAAGTCTGTCTGTATTTGTTCTTCTTTAGAACCTTGCAAGGTCAGTTTCAGGTTTGCTTTCACTGTTTGGACAGTGAATAGAGCTGTACTAATTCAAAATGTAAAAAAGAAATGCAACGTGGCGTTCCTTTACATAGCATCTTCGTCTCCTGTACAGTTATGAGCGGGGAAGGCAGTCAGTGGTGCTGCAATATGTGACTCTAGGATGCATACGGCATGGTATACAGCAAGAAGAATGTACCAAGCTGGAGGAGGGAAGAAAAATTATGGGAGACATGATTTCTAATTAGGTCAGTGATATTTCCTTACAGAAATCTCTCTTCTGTGTACCCAGTTAAATCCTATTTCCATTACTATTCATCTGGGCCAAGGAGAATGCTTTCTCTCTGTCCCTACTCGGTTATTGCCTCACTGCTGCAGTGCAACCCTAGAGAATAGGGTTCTCACTTCAGAGAGCAGTCTGGCTCCTTACGGCCTGCATGAAGTGGGAGATGCTGTAAGGTGGACATGGAGCCTAACTCGGGCCCTCACTGAGACACCACCCTGCAACGTCCTGCAACTGCTTCTGGCTTGTGCAAGGTTAGTTCAGTGATCCCAGTCCAGTTTTTACAGAACTTGTGTCTATTCCAAGAAATGATGGTCACTACTAACTCTACTGATAACCAGCTTGGGAGTCAAGGAGAAACAGATACCAAGACAAGGTTTCCTGAGGTTAACATCTAACCGGATTCACACAGCCACCTCTCAGATTACACAAAACCCAGACACAAACAGCTATCTGGCCACTCTTGCTGTGAGCTCGTAACACACCCCAGCAGGAGCAGAGCTGCTTAGCCAACCCAGAATCACCTTGACTTTGGACAAAGTGCTCCTTCAGGTGTCCCAGGACTACTCAATGTTGTACCATATTTCAATACAAGCAAGGCTCTCCCAGAGCAACTTCATAAAACCAGAATTTGTTTACCAAACAAGATCACAAGGAGAGCATATGTTCACCAGGGCATCAGAAAATCAGCACGTGTTACATTCACATTGAAAAATGTTGCCATAGACAGAGGTGTGAAAAATTAAACAAAACAGACTTGAAAGCCAGACACATGTTGACCATTTTCAGTTGGTGAACACATACTGCTCTCTTACTGGAAAAATTATAGCTTTGATGACTTATCCAGCATAGAGTAGCAATTAGTACAATTACAGCTTACAAGTCATGAACTAAACCTGAACAATGCACACTGTGGTTGCTAGTCTGCATTTAGATTGGGCACTTCTGTAATCTGGGCCTCTTTCTGAAACCTTCTCAGCACCATCAGCTCCTTCCAAGGTCAATGAGAATCACGGATACCTAGTGCTTTGCAGAGCAGAACCCCTGAGATTTACAGAAGCATTAATTGCTTCCATCCCATGCTGATTAGGCTGTCTGTCTCCTTAGAGGAGAGATGATCTAGTGAAGGAGGACAGAGTCAAAACAAAAGCAAACATAACTAAGTCAACCCATCATCAAAGACAGAACATAGCCAGAGGATTTATAGTTTAACATCACCATGTCACTTGCTCAGGCTGCAAGATCAACATCTTGGTTAACTCAGAGGTGGGAGCGAGTAAGAGATGTCTCAGGGACACCTTCCTTAGTCTAGACAGCAAAGTATCAGGCGATTCATTCAGTATTTTCTTCTTCATGGACATGCAAGACCTCAGCCATAACAGTGCCTTAGAAGGCACAGGGCATGGTTTCCTCAACATTAAACAGTATTTGGAAGAAGTGCACTCACCCCAGCTCCTCACAGAAGTTCACAATGGCATCAAAAGCTGTCATCACAGCTTTGTCAGATTCTTTTAAGGTGCCTTTTTTTTCCTGAAAGTAGACAGGGACAATAACTATAGTCTTTAACTACAGTATAAACAGATAAAGAAACTCTAGCAATGAGCAAATCCAACCCTTCTGATCAATATGACAAACAGGTCCAGATACCACCCTGCCTCTGCTCCACACCCGTGCCTCTCTAACAAAGCTGGAGCTGGGTCTGGCAGCCCTCTCCCTTCCTGCTTCACTCCCTTCTGCTACCCCACGAAAGAGGGCCACAGACAGCTCTAGACCCAGAAAAACTCATTTCATCTTTGCATAGTCAGAGGTCGCTGCAGACAAGAGGCAAACCAGATCAGAGCAAAGGCAGCATATCTAGGCAGGTGGATACTATTCTGCAGATCTTACTTGGATGTTAGAGAGCTCCTTCTTAATCAGGAAGCTGACTTGATCCCGATCATTCCTTGAGTAATAGAGGCGGCAGCAGGACGGCTTCCCATCTCTCCCAGCTCTGCCAGATTCTTGGTAATATCCAGCCATTGACTTTGCAATATTCCAATGGGCAACAAATCTGCATGTGGTAAGACAACAGGAAACATAAGGCTGCGGACTTCTCAATCACTGCATACATGATTGTGTTGTTTGTGGACATCAACAACAGTAAAAAATAAGGCAGCAAAAGTAAAAAAGACAGAGGATCTAGCAGAGCAAGGGATTTTGCATGCAGAAATTTAAGTCCTCTTAGCGCACGAGACACAAGGAAAGCAGCAGAGCCATAAGAAAGCAAGTGCAACTGAACATGTGAGCAGGATGTCACTCCAAATGACGGAAAAGAATGAGCACATGAATATCCCAAACGTGCACACAATTGTACAGCTATGAAGAGTGAGAATAAGGACACTGATTTAAGGAGTTTGGGACTTTTTCCCATAAAATAAAATTTTTAATTAAAAAGTCCTGTTTATTTTGTGGAACACAATTTGAACATTATAGAACACAATCTGAAATACTTTATTTTAAAAAGACACTTCTTTGCCAACAAGGTCTGCACGGGAAATTCTGTCTCACCTAGCTCACTTGTAGATGAGGGCACCCTTCCTAGCCAGCAAATATGACTATGAATCCTTGCTAAACTGCATGTAATCTCTGAAGGAAGGTTTTCAACACACCACTGCAAGACTGCTTTAAACCTGCTTGCACCTGAATATTCAGCAATTCAGCTTATACCTGCATTGAAAAGATTTTACAGTACACTAATGCTCCCAATGTTTTAAATACCAGTCTGCCTCAAAAACAGCATGTCCCTGAGGCAGGTAGGATGCATATGGGTGTGGCAAAAGATTAATGACAAAAGCAGGCAAACATGTTTCTCCAAACACAAACATTCCAGGAACAGACCAGGCAGGAAGCATCAGAGCCCTACACATTTGATCCCCATCAGGATGTTCACTGCAGGGATCGATAAGTAAGCTCAAACAAAACTGAATTAGCAGTGAAGAGGGAGGAGCAGATTCCACCAGAAAAAAGAAACCTCTCTGTTTTCCCTTTGCCCAAGAGTCACCTCCAGAAGTTGTCAGACCTGATCTTACTCGGTAACATATACATGAATACTCAGAACTCTGCCAACACAGAGTGAAGGCTAAGCAGCAGTGTCTTGTTGCCTGGGCTCAGGTATAATGTCCTTCGAGCTATTAAAAAACACCCTGTAAAGAGTCATTTTAACTCCATTCCTTGGAAATTAACCATATCACAAGCATATTTCAGATAGATTTCACTCTCAATCCTAGATGACCCACAGAGGTCCCTTCCAACCCCTAACATTCTGTGATTCTGTGATTTCAGCTACTCTTTGCCTTTTTTAATGACCACTGTACTGAACAGGGCAGAGTGGTTTCAGCAGGCCATTAATTCATGCTGCTCTCCTAGGAGACTTCTCATTTCTCCATTGGGTGACATGCACCAAGCAGGAGAATAGTCTGTCATTGCTACGGGATCCTGTTATCTGGCAGCACAGTGCCATGGAGAGAAGAATGGCACAGTTGTGAACTGATGTCATTGTCTCAGTGATGTCCTACCCCTCTCCCACAGTGTTCAGAGCAATTGCTTTATGTGGATTTTACAGTAAAGATCAGGTCTGTGTGGGGTGTTGCGTGAGCTGCACCTAAGTTATCCCTCTTCTAATTGATCACAGCTCACAATACCAACTCAGCACAGCTATACTGCGGTGCAGGAGTTCTAACAGCATAGAACAGTTATGGTGACAGTTAGAAGTCCCAGAGGAACAGCAATTTAAAACACGTGCAAAGTTTCTGTCCTTGGCCTCGAGCTGTATTTTTATACAGTTATTGCCTTTTGTGAACTGCTTTTTTTTCCCCCCCCTTTGCATTGCAAAAGGAGATCTCTAAAAAAAGCTAGCTCTGACTATTTTAGTAGATGGTGTATGAATTATTTTATGTACAGATTATCTTCCCTCTGCTTTTCAGCAGCAACTGTTGCACTAAGAGAAGTGAAAGGGACAGCTGTAATTGCATTGAGATGGCTCTTTTTGAAACCCTGGAGGGTGTGGCCAAAAAAAAGCATTCCTCCAACGTTCTTCGTTTTGAAGATGACGGGCAAAGAGGAGCTCTGGTGCCTTGTTTTTAATTTCTTTACAAAACCCTTCCAGGTTTGGTTTTGCTGCTTCTAAGATAAAAAAAAAAAAAAAAAAAATTCTGGGTTTTAGCAAGTGTTCATGAGGCATTTGAGCCAGGTGTATCAGGTAACAGAGAGACTGAGGCTTTCTGTTCCCACTGCTCAGGTTTCAGTTCCTGGTGGTGCACAACCTCAGCCTCACACACCTGACATTTGCTTTGTCTACTCCCATTCCAAAACTGATGGTTGCAACAATAACAGGGATCTTCTCCTCCATCCATTCATTCTGGACTGAAGTCCTGTCAGCTGCCTTGAGTCCTGGGAAGGGAAAAAGAGGGAAGGAAACAACAACCAAAAGAAAAAAGCAAATAAATGAGGATTTTCTTCCTCCTCCATCACCCCATTGCGAACCAACCCCCTCACTAAAACCGACTGATGTACACGCTCCTCTCTGCCCATGTTTAAATTGGCCTGCGATCAGGCAGAAGTCAGCAGCAGCTGTTTCTATTCCAAAGAGAAAAATTCAGAGTCCTCTGGGATAAAAGCAGTTGTTACATTTAGGCCATGCAAGATCCAACAAACCCAACAGTTCTGGATTGAAGGGAATGCCATTCTGTTGAAGGCTGCACATTTACCTCACAGAGCTGACGCGTGAGCATCAGACACATTGCAGGCCATGCCCAGATAGCTGTTTTCTAGGTAGCCCCAACCCAGGCCTTAAAGGTGGCACAGTTCAGTTCTACCAGCTACTGAGAGATGCAGCTTCCAGTACCTGCGTGATACGCCTTGGCTTTCACTCCTCGGTAGCTCAATTCAATAGCCAGCTGGTCACACACATCCCTCATCCTGCAGTACACAATGCCACAACCGGAGTACACCTGGGCAGACAGGAGAGAAACTCCATGACACTGTCTGAAGCCAATCAGCAATTAGTACAGTGCAGTCATTAGTACAGTGGAGACAGCAGGGACGCCAAAAGCTCATCTCTTCTACAAGCCGATTCCCCAGCAACTGAAAGATACTGTGGCAGTGCAACAGTAAATCAGACGTAAAGAGAGTTTCCTTACAAGTCCTACAGGGCCCAGCATCACCCAAATACCGTCCCCCGATCCTCTCCCAGCAGGCATAAGGCAAGAAGCAGCTTCCCTCCGCCTTACAGATAAACTCAGGTGCAGAGGCTGTAACTGAGTTGCTGAGAGTTATTTGGAGAATTAGAACAAGAAATTCAATACAACAGTCCAAATCTTCTGTTCACCCTCGCCATGCTAAAAGAGCAGAATGCAATCAAACATACAATGATCACCTGGGACATAACAAACCAAGACAGAAATGCTAGTCACATATTCCTAATCCATTCTCTTTTAGACCAACCCTTTTCTAAGGACAGTTCCGAAAGGAACACAGCCTTCATATTCTACCTCTTTTAGAGGAACTAAAAAACATGTGTGAACACTTTTAGAGTAACTAAAAAATATACACGTGAGCACTTTCCTCCCAGGGACCTCCTCCTTCCCTGCCACAGACCTGTCAGGGCCGTACCAACCACTGGAAGTTCAGTGACCATTAAGGTAGATTTTGTTCAGTTTAGCCTTTTTCCCCAAATGTAAAACTCACCCCCGTGGTGTTCTTCACTTCAAGCGCCTTCAGACAGAAATCCTTCAAGTTGGTGTACGGATCAGTCAAGAGCTCTTTGAACTGCACATCATAGAACAAGTTAGATCTGAAGCAAGGAGTCTTGAATGTGGAAAGCGGCTGCTTTAGTTTAAGCGCTGCCACAATGTCATCCTGGACCTGCTTGGTGGCAGTGGCAGTCAAGGCAACACACGGTGTAGCGGGTATGCGAGTGCGCAAGGTCCCCAGCCGCAGGTAGTCGGGTCGGAAGTCGTGTCCCCACTGGGAGACACAGTGCGCTTCATCGATTATCAGGTAGGACAAGAGGTTTCGGGACACCAGAGAGTTCAGCGTAGGCTGGAAGGAAGAGGCGGCTGCCATCTCTGGGGTGATGTACAGGAGCTTTACTTGAGGCTTCTCGCTTGCCAAGTCAGCCAGGATGGTCTTCTTTTCCTGGGCAGAAAGCTTGGAGTTCAGAGAGCAGGCTTTGATCTTCAGAGCCAGCAAGTGATCCACCTGATCCTAGAGTAAACACAAGATTAAAATTAAATGAAAAGCAAATGGCTATAAACAAAGTCACCATCACCAATAAAGACTACTAGGGAGATCCAGTTGAGGGCCCAGTTTCCACCTCCAGGATCGAGTCTCAGGACAACAGACACCTACAGTCTGGGTATTCAGAACTTCAACTCTAAATGCCTTTATCTTCAGCTGCGAGCATATCTGTCCAGCTCTAACATCCAACCGCATTTTTGTGCATCCAGTCACTTTAAGACAGTTTTTTTGCTGCTTGGGAACACCAGCAGGGATCTGTGCAAAATAACTCATCATAGCCACAGCATACACAAACAAGCCACCGACGTCTGGGATTTACACTATGAAGTTGTCGCAGATGGGAAATGCACAGCACCGCCCTACCATAACAGAGTGCGTTTCATTCAGAAACAGCTAAAGGATGCTACAAACACAGCCGAGACAGGACGAAACACAAGAGTCATGCAAATCACCACTGCAACAGAACCAAGTCTGGATGAGAACCACGCCATGAAAACCAAGAAGAAAACATGGCATCACAGCCAGATACATCCAGACGAACACTGGGCACACAAATTCACCTCCCTGTCCCTGCACTGAGCTGTTCACTTGCACTTGACTAGCACATAACATTTCAGAGGATATGAATAGTCCTGGAAAACTGGTATCTCGTTATTTCACTCAATAATTGGTTTCAGTGATTGATTTAATATCCACTGTTTTCTGTTCACAAAGTCAACTCTCAGCATTCCCTACTATACTTCCCTAAACAACACTGACTAAACTCTTGAAGTCCAGCTACACTGAAATACATCATGATCATTTTGGGCACAGCCACCCCACCTCAGGGCTGGATGAGAAGACCTCTGAAGGCTCATTTCAGCTCTGTTCCCTAAGACTCACTGAGCCCATCTAAACCAATTTGTCACTCTGGCACATTCTGCTTCACCTGCAAATCTTGCCAATGGTAATTTTTTTAACCTCTGTTTCACCGATAAAATATTGTCTGTGCTGAAGTTTAATCAGAAATCCTTGCACTTGGAACTAATTCACTATTTATAACACCATTCTGAGATGTATCACCAAGCCTGCTCTTAATTCTTAATATGTATTAGACTGTAAATGAGTTAAAAAAAAAATGCACAAAAAGCAAAACCCAAACCAGCAGCCTACAACACCAGATATCATGCAATGCTAACCAGATGCTTTACAGAAGCCTAAGCAATGCAGTCTACAGCTGCTCTTACAGGGAAGTGTTTCTCCCAGCAGGTGATGAAACAGTAGAAAAGGCAAAATACAGAAAAAACCTAGTCTCATAGATGAAAGTGCTCAAGGAGGAGCTCTGCTAAACCAGCTTCTTCCCATGACAGAAAGACTCATGCAACAAAAAGACATTTTGATGCAGAACAAATTATGCCTTCAAAGATAACTTCATCATTCCCAGAGTTATTACTTTGTAGGTAAAATAGCAGTTTTCTCCTGTTTGGTTTTTCTTCCAGTTTGGTCCATTTGAGGTACTCTACTTTGCTGCTTCTCTATAGCACACTGGAGGTAAAAGACAACTGGAGAAAACGGAGAAAGGCTCAGTTATAAAAACCACCCGGTTATATTAAAGAAGAAGAACCTCCTTTTAGAGAGCCGCATAGGATCATACCAGAGTTACTCTGCGCTGCAGCTAACTTGCAGTCTCTTCACCTACCACCAGGGCAATGAAAACACACCGAGACATCAAGAGGAGAATCCAGAGGCAGGCCAACAGCAGAGACTCGTGGACAGAAAGACAGGAGGCAGCTGCGCCTCCAGCGTCTCCCGACCCCCTTCACGGGCTGCTCTGCCACAGCTAACAGGAGACAGTTACCTGAATCAGTGCAATCAGAGGTGAAATGACAATGGTGATGCCCACTGCCAGAACTGCAGGAAGCTGGTAGCACAAGGATTTCCCTGCCCCTGTGGGCATGCATACAAAGACATCCTTCTCGCCTGCAAAGACAACAGAAGAAAGCTAAAGGTTCCTGAGTGGTGGCGAGTTCCCAGGGCTCTGTCTGGAGGGGTGGGCACAGTGGCTCATAATCTCTGAGAAACAGCATATGTGTGCGCATACCGTATGGCATACCAACAAAAGACACTTCATTTTAGGTTCTAAAAGCATAGCAATACTTTGTGTGCCTGGAGCATTTCCTTCAAAGAATCTCTCATCACTTCGTAAACATTTAGAAACAGCCTTACAAAAGTACCAGAAGATACACAGAAACCAAGACAGAGAAGTTAAACAAGCTATTCGTGCTAATTCTCTTCCAGACGAGCTGCTTGCTTTCATCTTAGACCTCCAGTTATCAAATTACCAGCCCCAAGACAGATCTTTACCACATCCTCCTAAAGCTAATCCCAGAAAGGTACCTCATAAGAAATCAGAGTTGGAAATCTCAGCCACATAGATAATCTCCCGCAGTTAGTGACTGTCACTGTACTGAGCAGTATCCACTTCAAGTCAGGGAGGTGCCAGTGCATGCAGTGTTAATCGGCAGCGACACCCCGCTGACAGAACACTGCCTGCTGTCCCTAGCACGTCTGCATAGCTGCCTGCGAGAGATGGAAACTGCAACTATATCCCGAGGGCTGAGTTTGACTCTGTTCTGATTCACACTGTGAGACCTGCCAGGGGAGCTGATGGCTGGCAGCTTGCGTGTGTGAGTTGCCTGTCCAGCCAACAGCAGTATGCCAGTGGACAAGTTAACGCCAGCAAAATCACATTTCTGATAATGGCTGCATGATTCGGAGAACAGATACAAACTATGCCATGAAATCAAGTCTTCTGCTGGTACCATCTCTGTCTAACATCGTCTGCAAGAACAGGTTTACTCTGAAAATGTACAAATGTAAACAGTTTTGACCTCGTCTGACCATAAACACGCTGGTGGATACCTGCAGTGGAGACACCAGCCATGCTGCACGTTAAGGTTTCCTATTTTCTGGTTGATGCAATAGGAGTGTTTCAAAACAAATACAAAGGAGAACAGGCAGGGCAAAGCCGTGTTCAGAGAGCCTGTGTGCAGCACACGTGTCGTAGTTTAACCCAGGACAACAAGCTCATGCTCCTACGCCTCTGAAACGATCTCAGAGCCAAGGAGGCCGTGGAGGGCCGGGTCCTGCCTAGTCCCGGTGACACGTCTCCTCAAAACAGGCAACCAACTCCCGCACTGGCCCCCACACAGCAAGATGGAAAACCTGACGTGTTCCGCATCTTTCCGACGCTGAGCCTCACCTCTCGCCACAGTCACGGTCGCGCTCTCCTGCAGGGAAGTCTTGAAGGACTCAAACCCAAAGACCTTTCGCAGAGCTCTCCGGACCCTGCCCTCCAGGCCCGGGGCAGGCTCGCCGCTCATCTTAGAGTTAAGCTGGGAAGCGTGACAGGAACCGATGCTCGACCCCAACGCGGCCACCCTCCTCCG